GTGATTGTGCATTGTGCGTGCCTTGCAATCTATTGTGCTATTCTAACCTAGTTTAGAGGGAAATCCCCTTTTCTAATGAGACTCTAATTGAGTTGGGTTTCCTAGGTATTCCATGCCTCCGAACTAGGTTAATGTAGGGCAAATCTCTAAACTCAATTTGAGCATCTAGGTTAATTGTGCTTTGGCCGCTCCAAACCCCGGTTTGAGGTAGACGTCAAGGCAACCCTCAATTGCTTGGGCCAATAGGGCTACATTTGTAGCCTACAATGCTTTCCTTGGCCTAGCAAGTGAGAGGCGGTTTCCAACCACTGTTGTATCTCCTAGCGGTTCACAATCTCCTTGTCCCACATCGATTCATTCGATCTCACGGTTCATGGTAGTTGGTTAGGGGGAAACAACACCCGAGTGAAGCTTCTCACCAAGATTTTTCCACCACTTTAATTTTCAAGTCTTGCTTTTCAATAGTAGATTGTAGATATTTTCACAAAACAACAAGCTGTTAGATAATGTTTCAAACAGTCAAAGTAGGGGTACATGGGCCGGCCGAATCGATATTTAAACATACTTGCCCTATATTGCACCCATTTAAGGTTTATACTTGGACCTTAGGTGGGGTTTTATTGTGATAGTCGGGTTGAGTCAAGTTTTTGGCGCCGTTGCCGGGGACCTTCGGTCCGTTATCTTGAAAAGATTGTTTGGTGTTAATCTAGCTTTTATTTTTTAGTTTTGCTAAGTTAAGATGTTTCTTGTGCTAGACGAGTTGTTGTTCTTTTAAGTGTGTGTAGGGAGGTGTATGTCCCGGAGCAATCCGACACCTTTAATGCCACTAGACGAGAACATCAACTGGACTCTCCGACTTTTGACTTGTGAGAGGGAGTTAGCGGAAGCGAGGAGGAGAATTGAAAAGAGGGGACATCAAGTTGATCCCGGAGTTAGAAGAGTTAAAGTAGAAGGTGAAGTTGAAATGGCGGTGAATCAACCACAAACTGCTAATCTGCCTCCGAATCCAAATGCGGAGGTGGGAGCTGAGGAAGAACCAAGGACAACTATGGGCTATTACATGGCTCCACGGGCGGCGGATATCCAATCTCCCATCTTACATTCACCCGTGGCCGCGAACAACTTTGAAATCAAGCCCGCCCCAGTCACGACGATTCAAAACAACGCCTTGTTTCATGGGCTCACCAATGAATCGCGGAGGGAGCATGTTCAGAGGTTCATTGAGCTTGCGGGAAGTTTGAAGATAAATGTGTCTCTACGGAGGCATTGTAACTGAGGTTATTTCCCTACTCTCTTGCGGGGAAAGCACTCCGATGGCTTAAAAACCAACCGGCTCGCTCAATTACCTCATGGGATGATTTGCTCAACAAATTCATGACCCGATATTGTCCTCCTTCTAAGACGCCCGAGTGGAGGAAGAAGATCACTTACTTTGAGCAAGAGGAAGATGAGACATTGAGGGATGCATGGGAAAGATTCTTCGACTACTTCCTCCAATGCGCTCACCATGGATCCGAAGAGCAATTTCAGATAAAGACTTTCTATGGAGGTCTCATTCAAGATGATAAGATTCTTATCGACTCCCTTTGCCAAGGGAGGTTGATGAACATGACCCCACCTCAAGTGACCGGGTTGCTCGAAGATATGGCTCTTAAAGGGTATGACTGGGGATTGACGAGGAGTGGTAAGAGAAGCACCGAAAGAGGAGTGCGAAGTGTCGAAGCAAGTGCTCCACTTGAAGCTAATCTTGACAAGTTGATCGAGGTGATATCTTGTGATTGGTGTTCTAGCACTAATCATGAAATTGCGGATTGCCAAGCGATGAAGGAGACAAGTACCCCCGAGGAGAAAGTGAGTTTCATTGCCAATGCTAGAGGGAACAACCCTTATAGCAACACCTACGACACAAGGTGGCGCAATCATTCAAACTTTGCTTGGTCTTCCCCTACCAATCCAAGACCTCCTGGTTTCCTAGGTCCGACGGGAAACTATCAACCTCGGTCAACTTTCATCCAACAAAGGCCTCAATTCCAAAACTCGAACTTCCAACAACCATACCAAGCACAAGGTGGTCAGGAGTTCCAATAACAACAACAAGACGACAAGTTTGCTAAACTTGAAGATCTAGTCAGCACCTTCATGACTACAAGCTCTCAGAAGTTCGAGAAGATTGAGCAATTCATGGATGTGGCAACTTCCAAGTTTACCTCGGTTGAGGAGGGACTCCGAAGTCATCAAGTAAGCCTCCAGAATTTGGAAGTGCAAATTGGCAATCTTGCTGGGATCCTCACCGAGAGATCAAAGGGAGCCCTACCCTCTCAAACCGTTGAAAACCCCAAGGATCATGCCGGGTGCAATGCAATTCTCCTGAGGAGTGGGAAGGTGACTTCGGAGGTTGTATCTTTGTGCTCGGGTATCCGATCATAGCGAATTTTTTTTATTCCGCATAACTTTTTGAGATCTTGCAAGCCGCAAACTGCCATTTGGTCCCGCCTTCGTCCCATAAAAATGTCGTTTGCTACTCCGAACGAGCTTTTTCCGATTTCGTCAAACTTTGGACGAACATAACTTTGTGCTCCAAAATCCGAGAGTTTTTTTCATTCCACATACCTTTTTAAGGACGACTATTTTTATCATAGACATAATTTCGGAATGTACGTGGATTTGTGAAAAGGGAAGATAAAGTTATTCCCAAAACCCCGTATATCCAAAAATAAATCATGTTTTGAAAATTTCTTCCTAGTAAAAGTTGTAGTCCTTGAAAAGTTTTGCAGAATAAAAAACAATTTCATGACGTTCGGATTGCGGAACACATAGTTATTGACTCGCCTCTACTGTCACACTAGAAAATGGCCAAGTGTAACCACCTACTAATGCGTAGTATAGCGGGTTAAGATTTAATTGTCAAACCGGGTCCTAGGTGTGATGACTACTCTGTGAAGTTCTTATTATTTAGAGGTTCAACTGTAGTGAAGTTTCAACTAAACTAACAAACACAAGCAATAAAACTTGTGGTTCAAGTTTGAGAGAGGTCACCCAGATATGGTTCCCCCTAGATTGTAGTTAAGCCAAGTTGTAATTCACCAAGTCCATATTCAATAATAATTATACTGCGGAAGGTTCTTATTCGGTCTGAAGTCTCGAGTATTATTTAGAGGTTCAACTGTAGTGAAGTTTCAACTAAACTAACAAACACAAGCAATAAAACTTGTGGTTCAAGTTTGAGAGAGGTCACCTAGATATGGTTCCCCCTAGATTGTAGTTAAGCCAAGTTGTAATTCACCAAGTCCATATTCAATAATAATTATACTGCGGAAGGTTCTTATTCGGTCTGAAGTCTCGAGTAAAGGTCTCCAGACCATCTCAATCTGAGTACCCGGCGAGCGACTAACCTCCACCGGAGTAAACAAACTGAGACCCTAAAGTGCAAAACCTCCTCTACTGGAATACATCCAGTGAATTGACTTCTCGACTAAAGTCCTCAATTCACCACCTTCAATTAAGGGTGCTCTATCAACCTAGGTAGATATTCTCTTTCTAGGTCAAAGCAAGAACTACAGGAATTTGATCAAGATTCATGCAATTCAGAAAACCATGCCTCAATTGAATATAATCGATGTCAAAGAACATGTACTTGGGTTCATACAACCAAACCTAACATACAAATCTAGGGTTCTTCATACCCAGGTGAGTGAGAGAGTTTACTCCATAGAGAGAGAAGAGAAATCAGCTTCAGATGCGGAAATCATTCTGTGAAGGTGAAAATCCACTCCTGGTAGTCAATCGACACTTCTCCAAGCTTCAATCGAGCTCCAATTGTGTTGAATCTCGATCTAGTGCACTTTGAGGTTCAGTTCGTCGCTTCTCTCTCTAGGTTTCTACTTTCTTCTTCTAAAACTCGGATCCCTCTCAAAAGAGGCCAACTTCGCTTGAAAATGAGCAGATCACGATACTCGGCCCAAATACCTGGTCGAGTATTATTAAAACGCAGCGCTCCAGTAGGGGAAATACCTGATCGAGGGTCAGAATACCTGATCGAGGGTCAGAATACCCGATCGGGTATTTAAGCTTCGCGGCCGGGACCCCTTCTGCTTCTTTGGCCTCCAAAACAACTTTTATCTGGTCGCCTCCTTCTCGTTTACCCGGTCGCGTATTTCAGTGCCTGACCGGGTATTTTTGCCTTCCAGCTCCTCTAGCTCAAGCTCTCCACTTTTTGACCCGAAACTCGCTTCCACGCCTCAATGTCCACGCCAAGTCCTGAAATATGACATAAACAGACAACCTAGCGTGAAATCGACTTAAACCACGAGAGTTGACTCTCAAACGGTTCAAGAATGGTGGTCAAAACATGTGCAAATAATGGTCTATCGGTTATGGGCGGTCAAAGTTTGGCAAAATCAGAAAAAGCCCGTTCGGGGTAGCAAGCGACGCTTTTTCGCGACAAAGGCGGGACCAAATCGCCTACAACTTATTGCGCCTTGCAAGATCTCGAAAAGTTATGCGGAATAAATTTTTTTTTTGCAACGATCAGATACCCGAGCACAAAGATACGCTCGTTTGACGTTTCCACATAGGTTAGGAATAATCAAAAAAAGGGACCAAACTGCTGGGTGGGGCATCAGTTTTGGACCAAACCCAAAATTTTAAGTGGTATGTGCTGATGTGGCATGTTGGCCGTTAGTCAACACGTTTGATCGTCCAAGATAACGGTCAAATCTCGGGTTTGGCCAATTTTGTAACTTTTATGAATAGTCGAGGCCACGAAGTTAAAGATAGAAAAAGTTGGTCAGGATGTTTAATATGTGAAAAGTTCGGGCCATACAAATATATTAACCCTAAATTTTAACTAGCTCAAATCATGTTATTTCATAATAGCGAAACAATTTATTGTACATAATTTTTTATAAAATTAAAAATAAGACATGTTTTCTTACTTGCTCAATATGTTAAACTTGTTATGAAGTGAGATATATAATTTAACAATTCTATGAGGTATCAAAATTCAAATCCTAAGATGTAGATCGATTCATTCATAAGTCGGTTATTAAGTTAGCTCTCAAGCCATATTATTGAGACATTTCATTAGCTCTAAACGAGACAGCTCACGAATTGAGATCAACAAACCACTATGTCGAGCTAACTCGCGAGCAAAACTGAGCTCAACCTCGACTGATTAATAAACAAGTTAAGTTTTTAAATAAGTTTTTCTCGAGTCTAACGGCTAGCCGCTCGACTCTCCAAACACAATAAACGGCATAAATGACCGATTGAATATTTGAATTACATAGCACTGATAAGGAAATAGCCGGCTCGCAGCCCAAATAAGTGAAATAGCTTTCCCGTAGAGATGAGATATATGCCCATCAAAAACTCGACCGAAGGCCCAGTCAAATAGCCCAGTCGAATAGCCCAGTTTCTGGCTGGCTCCCTCTGACGGGGAAGAGGAAGGAAAGTAAGAGTAAGACTGTCAGCGACTCTGCCTGCTTAGACAGAGAGCGCTGTCGTCTCGTCGTTTTCACTTTTTCGCCATTTTCGCCCCGATCGATCTCTAAACTGAGCCAGAGGCCAGAGCTCCCATTCCGTCGACTAGAAATTTCCCCGTAGATCTTCGATCAAGCTCCGCCGACCTTCGCCTTGCTGCCTTCCACCGAAGAAGGGAAGAGGAGAGAGAGCAACAAGGAGAGATGTTGCCTACTTCGTCCAAAGCCAGGGCTTCGTCCTCCGCATCTAGAGCTCACTCCATGTTCCCGCAGTACCTTCGCAGAATTATCAAGGTTTTGCTCCCTTCCTCTCTGTCTTTAAAATTTGTGTCGTTCAAGATCTGATATATCCTACTCAATTCGAATCCGTCTCTCGCACTGTACCCTGACTCACTGGGAGATCTCATTTCGTTAGTCAATCGTCGCAATTGGAGCCCGTAACCGTATAGTTTAGCGGCTAGTTTTGGGAGTAGATCACTTCCTTCATTCGAGAGGGCATTGTAGTTAGAAATCTCGATTGAGTCTGTTGTGTTTGTTTTTGTGAACCAAGTGCATTCAGAATTTGATTTGATGTGCGCATTTCTCCTGGAATTGATAAGCCTTTGTGTCTTAGTATGGATGTGATCTCGTATCTCAGTGTTCAGGAACTGAGCCATTTCTGAGGGGAAGTTTGTGTTTTCGTTTGAGCTTTTATTACTGGTTTCGTTTCTCTTATGGCCCTTTGTTATACTTTGTTTGATCATTCTAGTGGCAACAAATGGACATTGAATACACGTTCTGGCAAATGCTTCATCTATGCACCTCCCCGAAAGTTGTGTAAGTAATTCTTGGTTGTTTCATCAATTATTACTGTTCACATATTTGCATCCAACCCTTTGTAGGTGATGTGATGCCTCTGTGTTACTAGGTGATACGCCTTTGGTCTTTCTTTATATTTTTTATTGACTCGTATTGCATGATTGTTCGAAGCTGCATAGCTTAACTTACGTGATGTTGAAGAATTTCATACATGATTCTCAATTTCCTTTTCTTGTTTCCAGCCCTCTGCTTCTTAATATTTAGTATTTGGCTGTACCATAGCTAAGATGTAAGGCTTTTACCTTTATAACGTCATGGTATTGCTGGAGTCATGAAAGCAGGTGACAGTTAGAGAAATTCTGTATACGTATTTGTTTCACATTTCTGAGTGATTGTGCCCTGTGATATCCTGAATCCTTTTCGTTGTATGGAGTCGGAAAAAAAAAAAAAAAGAGTTCTGAATGTGTCAGAAGTTGGGGTTGCTGGTCAAACAGGCAAGCTTATTCTATTGATAATGGAGTCTAACAATTTAATTATTAAATTGCATGTCGTTTCTGTGGGATGGAAGCAGCTATCAGCACACTAAGTACCATAAGCGTAAGTTTCTCGTCCACTGTATATCTTATTTATGTGCATCAGATGTTCTCGTTGTTCTTGCGTTAATGATTGTGAGCTGCTGACACTGACCTTAGAAATGAAGGTGATTGCTTGGATGGACTTCCTTGACTGCTCTATTGGGTCTCTAAGTGGTTTATTATTGAACAAGTATAGGATCAGAATCATTTCGATGGTTGTATGTCAAATTAGCAACCAGATTAGGTGGTGAGATAATTGAGAATTCATAATGGGGTTTATGCAATGGACAATTTGACGGTAACTTTTCCTTTTGTGATAGTTCCAGAATGTGCAATTCTGGTAACTCAACCCCCACCCCCACCCCCACCCCCACCCTCATCATCATTTCATTTTTCTAATAGAAAAAGGGCTTATTTGAGAATGTTGTTAGTAGCTAGTGGCTATTATATATTTTGGCTATTCATTGTCCTTGTGTATGCATACCGGAGGCATCAGGCTTGTACTTTGAAATTCATGAGTTTCTTGTGTTATCTATTAGAGAATATCTTCCAATGGGTTTGTTGCATATGCAGTTATTAAGGGGGAGTATTCTGCATTTATTCTGGAAATTGTTAGATGGAATTTGAAAGATTGTTGTTCGTTTTTGTATGTCAGAAACTAAGAATCAATGGGCACGTGACGATCCTGCTTTTGTTGTAATCTGCAGTCTCCTTCTGGCTGTTGCGACTTTGGCTTATTGTGCCGCGTAAGTTTTTCTATGTACTTCTTCCTGTTCGCCTCTCCTGATAGGATAAACATGAAGAGCTGACTTCTTCGTAAGCTTACGATTCTTGATATAGATTAGAAAATCCTATGCCTGAATTTGAATTTTTCCAGTTGTGAAATATCGTCCTCAAGTTTTTCTTTATGCTGCAAATCTGACTTCCTTTTCTGTCTATTTAATTTTTTTTTGTTGCTTGACTTAATATTGTAGTTACTTCCCTACAAGTTTAATCTTACGTTTTCCTTGTCTATTTCAGGTATGATCACAGTGCATCTCATGCTGTTTTTGTAGTTATATCAGTATTGCTTTTCCACTTCTTGACTGCCGGGGTGCTTCTGGCTACTTCTTGTTGGTAAGATTATCAATCTACTTTAGCCATTGTTCAATGCTTTCATTGGTTTTATCAATTTGGCGAAATAGCAAATTAAAAACTTGAAATGGTAATTCCTTAAGAAATTGAGTGTGCAATTGTGTGCTCTGCATATGCTACTATTTGATGAGATCTTGGTTCCTTTTAATGGAATTGGGCTGGAGTTGCAACAATAATCGATGAGTTGGAATTTGGAAGGATTGAATACAAAGTTGACGAAATTTGAAGTCTTAGGACCAATTGAGACATGCTTGAATAGAAAGTTCTGTTCATCTGATTTTTTAGTTATTGAGGTTTCCTGCCATGGTAATGTGGGTTAGTAGGGGCTGGTAGATGAATGAAATTCAATGTCCAAGAATCGTTTGGCCTATTGCTCATTATATCTCATGGCTTTCTGTACATCAGTGATAAAACCATTCCTGTCTTGTACCTCAGGTTCTTGACTAACTCATACCTTCGGGAGGAGGTTCCGAATAGTCATGTTGTCGAGCAACGTGTTGAATGGCAAGTCCAATCAAATCTTCCCCCTTTGAATATCAAAGTCTTGGCATCTTTCATTTTCTCCTGTTGCGTTTTTTTATTGACATTGTTCCTGAATCTTTCCTGTTTTCTTTTTCCCCTTTGTTATTTTTCAAATTTATCTTTTTTGAAGGTTGTATGCATTCGATGTGCACTGCAATTCTTTCTTCCCCATGTTTGTTATGCTCTATGGTAAGCAAGGCCTTCAAATGGTGTCGCTTTAGAGTCCTGTCGTTTGTCCGTCCTTAATATACTAATGATTCACTGTTATGTTTCTTGCAGTTATACATTATTTTCTGTCACCTCTTTTGGTGGCCCATGGTTTCATACCGGTTCTACTATCAAACCTGCTTTTCTTGGTGGCAGCCTCGTATTACCATTACCTCAACTTTCTAGGTTATGACGGTAAGTTGATTTTTGTTTTTATTTCCAGCTCTACTTGCGAAGAGATAATGCATCAGTTCTACACTTGTTACTTGTTTACGCTAATCATGACCAGCAAGATGCATTTGACTGCAGTGCTACCCTTCCTAGAGAGAACAACCTTTTTCTTGTATCCAATCGGCATAGTCATCGTCCTTTCTCCCATTTGTAAGTAATTCAATGCACCCATAGGTTAAAATAATAAAATATGCGCCTGATCTCTTTTGATCATTTCTCGTATTTTACCTAACTCTTTGCAGTAATTCTAAGCGGGTTCAGTCCTTCAAGATACTTCATGAACATGTACTTCAGTCAAACGCTGTGATATACCCACCCAAGGCTGCTAACAGCATTTACGACATAGCAAAATATGTTTGGAGGCATTCCGTTAGGTACGCGATTGCATCAAAGTTATTGGAGGGAAGGCATAATTCTTTTGGTGTAAATGTGAGAACTGAGACCAGGGCCCCTTGAAACAGAAGATCATTGTAGTAACTCTTGAAACCGGGAAGAAGTATAAATGAAGCACACGAAGTGGTCGGAAGTGGAGTTTTCTTTCCCCTCGGAATCGAGGGTTAGTCTGATACATGGTCATGTAGATCCATGATGTAATCCTTTGATTGTTTTTTTGTTGTCAAATCTGGTGGGTGGGTTCTTCCGGTTAGCATGGTTTTTCCTCCCATCTGAACTTTTGTTATTGAATGTGGAAGTTTTACGATGTTGCACATTCACTTACGACTCTATCTCTCTCTAATCAGGATCTGGAGTCAATGTGCAAGACTGCAGAGTCTTTGCAGTCTTTACTGGTCTCGCCTAGTTATACTTTCTTCCGTGGCGGGCTTAATTTGTCTCTTTGGTGATTCGTACGCTGTTTTATGTGTCTTGGGTGATGCATCGTTCCTCTTGGCCGCCAGTCCCTTTGGAACGTGTTTTGGTTGTATCTTTCAATTGTGCTATATTCCCTTTTTGAAGAAAATAAATGATGCCTTACTGGCTGCTGGTTGTATCTAGGGCTGTCCGTTTGGGTCGGGTTCGGTTACCCGAACAAAAACCCGACAAAACCCAAAAATCGAAATCACTGAAAATCGAACCTGAACTCAATAAAGACTTACCCGGAAACTGAAAATTCCTTATCGGGTTCAGTTAAAGCAAAACCGAAACTTGAAAACCCGAACGCCTAAGAATACGGGCTGAGTGCCAATTCTTGGATGTTTTTAGCTGAAACCCAAAAAATCGAAACCAAAACCGAAAAACTTGAAACCTGAAATAAACCCGAATCAGAAAAACTGAAAATGTATCTAATCGGGTCGGTTTCGAGTAAACCCAAAAAATTGAACCCGAATGGACACTCCTAGTTGTATCGATAAGGTCTTGGGCGGTCAGATGAGACACAAACCACAAAAGCTCCCTCTCAAATGGAGTGGACGTAATGGCCACATGAACACTCTTTGGAAAACTATCCTGTTTTTGGGTGGATAGGCCACCTAGGAGCTAGAATTTTTGATTGGGGGAAATTTCAACATACATGTAGAAACATATATATATATATATATATTTTCAAAGAAATCGCTCAATTTTTTTTAATATAAATCCACTTAAATTTTTAATAAAACTGTACATTTTTTTAATAAAACATATAAACTATTTATGTCTGTCACCATCTCCTATACTTACCAATTTAATAATTAAAAAAAGTATTCTCATAATTTCAAACTCCAATTAAATCTAGTCGTAGAATATATCAGTTAAGATTTGACCATTTATAAATAAAAACATGATAAATTTTCAAAGAAATCAGCTTCAAAAGAGAGGCAGCTTCAAAAGAGAAAGGGCGATCAAAACTAAACACGTGATTCAAAGAAGCTAATTGTAAATTAAAAAGGGCTAATACCACTGGAAATACCATTCTTTAGCGAAAGTGCCATTTATATTACGTACTTTTCAATATGTCATTTGTATACCAAATCGTTTCCTCCGTTAAGTTTTCCGTTAGAAATTGACAGAAAACACAGTCAGCATACACGTGGCAGCTGACATGGAAAATTTACTAAAAATTCATTTATTAAAAAAAATCGGCTATTCCTCTTCCCCACTACGCCTGCTTGTATCATCCTCGTGCGACTTTTCATCCCCTCCCGAGGACTTCCCTCCCCCGGCACCACCAATCGCCTCCTCTGCCCTTTCTCCTTCACTGCTTCATCCCTCTGGTTTGTATCTGTGGCTACAATAGCTCCCCTCTTCCACTTCGCCGTCTCTCATCCCACCTCCTTCAACAAATTCCCAATTCCTTTTCCTCCATCGCCAACCTCCGCTCGCTCTAGATTTTTGGAGCAACGAGGAAGCTATGAAAGGAAGCTCTTTAGAAGCTTTTGAAGGCGGAACTTCCCTCGACGTCGGCCGAATCGGGGAAAATCCGGTCAATTGATTTAGGGATTCGAAACCAGGTTCACCCCATTGCCGAAAGATTTAGGTGTTTCAAATAGGGGAAAACCAGGTCCCTTTGGAGGATTTTCCTTACTCCAACTCATATTCGTTCTTGAGTGATTTGCACAGATAAGGTGGGGAAAATGGAATAGGGGAGCAATTGCAGGTAGAAAAGCGGCAGCTCAGTCGATGACGGCGTCGATGGCCGGTCGTAATCCTTGGCGGAGGACGCATCGGAGGAGAAAGGCGTGGCCTTTCTGATGAGTTTGATTGAACCTTGAGTGAGTGCGCCACTAGTTTTTGATTAAGGGAGATCGACCGTCGGGGTTGCCGACGGAGCTGTCGAGATCTTGCGGCGACAACATATTTGTTTTGTTTTCCGACTAGGTGGAGGCGACAAACTACTTTTTCCTTTTAATTATAATTTTTTTATTTAATGGGAATATTTAATGGATTATTTAATAGTAATATCATATGTGGCGCATACATGTACGCCACATAAGACCACATAATCAATAGTCAAACATAGGTTGACCACCGTTAGGTCAACCGTCAATTCTAACAGTCAACAGAAATACGTGTAACACAAATGACGCGAACCCTTAATACGTTGGAATATTTTTGTGTTTATTGAAAGTACGTAATATAAATGGCACTTTCGCTAAAGCATGGTATTTCCGGTGGTATTAGCCCAATTAAAAATGAAAATTTTCCCGCTTCCCATAATTGGGAAATTAAAAAATGAATAAAATACCATTATAAGGATTCAAACCCTCCACTTCTTATGCAGAGGAAGTAATGAACTGCTTCCTAACCAGCATTGGCGTAGCCAAATATAAAATTTAAAGGGGTCCAAACAAAATAAAATACAAAATTTGTCTCAATAGTAAAATAATTGTCTTGGAAAAATGGGTCCATGGTTCTAAATTTACTAACCACACCTTAAAATTCCACCATTTTTAATGTATATTCATTTTTCAAGTGGGGTCCATGGACCCCACATCCCCTCACCTAGCTCCGCTAATGCTAACCAGTACGCTACGCTAGCAAATTTTCTCGTGTTCAATAGTCACGTTTGTTGCTATTTCTAAAGTTCAGGGGGGCCATGGCACCGCGTCCGTTCCTACCTATGAGTATAGGTGTCAAAACATAACCCGACCCGATTAACCCGCCCGATCAACCCGACCCGATTAACCCGCCCGATCAACCCGACCGCAACCCGAATTGACTAAAAGTCAACAATCCGGAACCCGCCCTGCCTGCAACCCGATTGACCCGCAACCCGACTAACCCGCAACCCGACTGACTCGCAACCCAATTAACCCGAAGCCGATTGACCCGCAACCCGACTGACCCGCAACCCGATTAACTCAAACCCGACTAACCCGTAACCCGACCGACTCAACCCGAACCTCACTTAGTCCACTTAAATAATTATTATATTATACAATACATAGTTTTTCAAAATAAAGTTTTTCATTTTAAACTTAGGTAAAATTATTTTTTCATTTCGTATAGGGAATTTAAAAAATATGAAACTCATTTGACATTATGTATTTTAAGAAAATTACAAAAATTGAAACATGAAGGTCACTTGAACACTAAGTTCTTTAAAAAAATTAAAAAAGTAAATATAAAATCAACATAATGTCAATATTAATAATGAAGAATTAATAATTGAGATCATGGACAATATTAATATAATATATAAATTAAAATTTTGGTTAATTCAACTATTCAATAAAATTATCAATTAAATATAAATAAAATAAAGTAATGTATTTGATAATTTCATGTTTTTAAAAGAAGAAGAAATTTTTGGTGTATTCAAATTTTTGGGAAGAGAAAGAAGAGGGAAATTTGATTTTTTGAATTTTTTGGAAAAGAAACAAGGGAAATTTTGGTGGTTTTGATTTGTGGGAATAGAAAGAAGTGGGAAAGTTTGGTTCTTTTGATTATGAAAGAGAAATAAGGAGGGAAATTTTGAGTTTTCAACTTTTTGTGGAAGGAAGGAAGAGGGAAATTTGGTTCTTTCAATTTTATGGAAGAGAAAGAAGAGGGAAATTGAGTGTTTCTAATTTATGGAAGGAGAAAGAAGTAGAGAAATTTTAGTATTTTTTTGTGAAAAGAAAGAATGAAACAAATTTGGTGTTTTCAACTTTTTGGTTTTTCAAAATTTTAGCCTTTAAAATATGAATCTTTAATTTTTATATGGAGGGCTTGACTAGTTAAATTTATTCTTATATGCTTTGAAGGCTAATATATATATATATATATATGTATGTATGTAATTGTTTATGGTCTAATAAATAAATTAACCATTAGTTACAACAATTATACTAAACTTGATAAGTAATCTTTGACAGTTCGTTGTTTAGGGTATAAAGTATATTGGTTAGAGTAAATGGTATAAGGTACATATGGTTTAGGGAGTATATGGTTAGGGTATAAGATATTGATGGTTTTGACGGTTATATGTTTTTTATTAACATATATTCACTTCAAGTCATTTGATGTCTTTAACGGAAGGAGATCCCTTTTTAATTTATCTTTGTGGTACGTGGTTAGGGTACAAGGTATATGATGTAGAGTATAAGATATATGGTTAGGGTATAGCAATTAGCAAATATAACTTTTTATCTATGTTTTGAAAATCAAAGTATGAATTTCAGTTTTAAATTAACTATACTAGCAAAATCACAACTTATAAGGACATATGGTTAGGATATAGGGTATGTGGTTAGTGTATAATGTATTGATGGTTTAGGGTATACAATCAACACCATATACTAACTTAATATTATCGATTGAGGGTAAGGCTAAGTGTATAGGATATATGTTATTAAGTAAGTTATGATTGAAGTCCCAATAATTTTACTATATTTGATAGTTAATCTTTAATGGTTCAATTTTCAGGATAATTCGAACAATTTTAGAAATAACTCTTTTGGCAACAGTTTACTGTAGTTATTTGGGAAATGAGTTATTTCGAAATAACTTCTTTAATCACTCTGTTTTTTCCTAATACCACATTTGCATGGTTATACTAAATGAGATACTTTAATCCAATTACACTACTGAAATAATACTAAAATATCAAATAAATCATTAATGGTATCTTTTGGTTGTAAATATTGATATCACCATTACTATTAGCTAGTGTACTTTACCAATTACGATTAATTACATAACAAGTTTGCAAGTCATACAAATTGATTTAACATTTTGACTCGTTTTTTTCAAAAAATTAAGTATATATATACGAGGTAGAAATAAATTGGTTAAAATAAATATATTATTTTCAAATAAAGTTTTTCATTCTCAACCTAAGTAAAATCATTCACATTTAGTTAAGAAAGTTCAAAATCTGAAATTCACTTAAAATTATGGTTTTTAATTACAAAAATTTTGACATGAATTTCTTTAACCAAATTAAAAAAAAAAATATAAAATCAGCACAATGCTAATATTTATAATAAATAATAACTAAAACCTTTTGTCTATAATAATAAACTTTATTATTGGGGAAGATGACAAGGTAAAAATTAAGAAGTAATTTTGGGCG